GCGGAAAGATTTATGCCCTTAAAACCAATCCTGCATTAAAAGACGTGTCACCAAGAATAATATGGGAATTAAAGGAGTATCAAATATTTCCATAAATAAAAGGGGCCGAGGCCCATTATGAGTTCAAAACAAAAGAAAAAATAAAGAAAAAAGAACAGAGTTAGGGAACATTTATGGAAGGGGCTCAGGAACAGGCTCCCTCATCGCCGATGTGGAATTCGAAGTGGAAGCACCGTTCCTGCCCTCAACTTCGGGCTCATTCCGGACACGTTTCCAAGGATTGTCGTCATTTTCCTCGTCTTCCTCTTCGCTATCAACAAGAGCAGCTCCAGTCGGGGCATTCACCGGTCCCTGAACTTGACCTTTAGCACGGAGATACATCCGGAGCATTCTCGGGATCTCTGCGATGGAGTCGAAGTTCCTCCACTCCCACTGAAAGGGATCACTTTCCAGGGCTCTCACTTTCCTCTCCACTCGAGCAATACGAGCCTCGAGTGTTTGCCTCTTGAGTCCCAGCCGCTGCCTCTCGTCGCACAAACGGCGATGTTTGTCGACAACCTGTCACCAAAAAGAATAAATTAAAGTGAAAAGCATAGGAGTTTGGGTGAGAGAAGCGAATTTTGACCTTGTCCATGAAGTCGTAAGCCTCTTTCTTTTCCCTCGAAGGGAAGTGGAACACAGCATGAGGAAAGAGAACGCCGGCCGGCTCGAAGCCATCGCCGGACAAGAATAGGGGGCTGCCAGGATCGGTGGGGATCACTTTTTCGTTCTCCATTATTGTTAAAGGAATTTTGGAGTTCTTTAAAAAGCTAGAAGCAAACTTGCCTCTATTTATAATAGGTCTAGGGTTTATCTTGAAACCGTAAAATTAATGATGATAGTGTGCCCGAGTGGTTAAACTATTTTTGGAAATCGGGAAAGGCAGTTATTGCCTTAAAGGCGTGCGGCTTTCCCTATTTCCTAAGGAAGGGAAAGGGCAACCGTCGCATTTAAGGCAAGGAGCCCATTAAGCACAAAAGTTTTTAAGGCCCAAGCCCAACAAATTCACCGAGTTGACTTAACCCGAAGTGGGGAACTCGTGTTAAGCCGAGCTCAGTTCTCGCATTCCAAGAGAAGGGTCTGATCAGCCTAAAAATCTCGAAAAAAACATAGCCACAAGGCCAAGAAGTGTTAAAAGCGGACCTTGCAAACCCGCATATAATTTTAACCAAACCCTCTCGGGATCTAAACCTAAAACAAAAAAGGTTTAAAAGCCTCCTCAGGCAAATATCTTGTTCAAAAGAAACTAATAATAAAGCCTCCTTAGGCAAAAGCAAAAGTGTAAAGATTTAAGTCTCGAAAAGAAGGTATAATAATGGGACAAGCCCCAATTCGGAGTGGACGCAGCCACTACGGGTCAGCAGACACTTCGGCTTCCATTTCAGTTGACAGGTTTTCACCCACCTCCTTGGCCGGGACTTGATCAGAGGAAATTCCTTGCTCATTCCCTTCGGTACAAACATCTCCTGAGGTGACCTTCGGTGCAGAAGGAACTTCAGATGAAACGACGCCCTCCGTCTCACTTGAACCTATAGAAAACAGTTCGGGTCAAACCAAAGGGGAAGAAGAAGGTAGTAAGCATCAAGAACTAGTGTTTACCTGCCCAGTCTAGACCTGATTCACTTAGGGGAGGAGATTCAGTAAAAAACTCCGCGAAATCCTGAGGGTTGAAGGACGAAGCGGGAAGAGCTGCCAGACGATTTTTCTTTTCGGATAAGCTAGACGACAGCTCGGATCTCTCTTTCACTTCGGAGAAATCGTCGTCATGGATTTGATCCAGCAAGATTAGGTTGCTCTCGTGCTCTTTGATGTCTGACTCCAGATCTGATTTAACCTTCTCAGTTTGAATAAAGCGGATGGCTCCTTGAATCAACTCCATCCCTCGTCCCTTTACCTCTTTTCTGGCCTTCGACGCCGACCTTGCCAACTCGGAATCACGCAACTTGGTAATCGCGTTGTACTTCGCGTGAAGTTCAATAAGTTGGTTATTCAGGGCATCGGCGGATGATTCGGATTCATGAAGTCTACCCTGAACACCAGAAAGCTCGTTCTGTAGTTGGTAATTCTGGTCGTACTGGTCCTTCAGGTCCCCTCTTATCTTCTCAAGCTCAGATTTGAGGCCAACTACTTGATCTTCCAGTTGTTGCTTAGAGCCCGAAGATGACTGAAGGTCGGACTCAAGAGTAGTAAACTTGCCTCTCCATAAGTCAATCTCCTGTTGCTGGCTGAGTAACAATCCTTCATAGTGCTCGACCATGTCGTTGAGTTCGCTGTTCGCCTGGCATAAACTCGAGATGATGAACCAGTTGGAAGGCCAACATAAAAAAGAATGAAGAAGAACTAACCCGAGATGAATGATGCGCATGAAGCAAATAGCGTTCACGAATTGCCGGACGCCACTTGTCGAATTCCGGCAGGATTAGACCCGACCGGGTCTTAAAGCATCGAAAAACGCTACCTTCTTTCTCCATAGCTGTGAAGGAAGAAGAAGGGGAATTGTAATATTTTGAATCAAGATGAAGTGAAAACCCTTAAGAATGCGTAAATCGTTACCTGTAAGCGATTTGATTTGGGGAACAAGAGCAGGTTTTGATCTCGGGGAAGCATCTTGAGATCCAGAACTTTCCTTCTGAGGAGATACGCTCCGAGTGGTCTTCTCGCCATCATGTTTGGGAAGGGAAGACATGTCAACCGGAGCAGGAGGACCCATTGTCTTAGATGGAGGGGACGATCGAGGTGAACGGTCAGTCCGGGCCCTCGATTTCTCCCTATGCGGAGAGGAATCACTTCGAGATGACTTGTCTCTCTTCTTGCGAATCAAATCCTTAAGCGGTGCGCTGCTAAAGTCATCTCGGGGAGGTCGAGGAGAGTCACCGTGAGGAGATCTGTCTTTCCGAGGAGAACGATCATGACGGCGTTCACGACGAGGTGTTAATCTATAAGCAACAACAGATCTAGCCCCCTCGGAGCTGTTGTCATCAACCAGTAAGGTCCTGCTGTAGTCCTTCTTGTCAATGGCGGCCGCAAGGAACGCCTTGTTTTCTTCACAAGCCTCTGCTATCGGCTTGGAGAGCTTTTTACGCTGGGCAGTGAGGGCCCGAGCTGACAGTCCCTGAGTTGAAGGAGGAGGTGGAAGACGATGAAGGTGATTGGGCGGACTCATCCTGAGTTTTCGATTGGCTTCAATGAACCGATCGAGAGTAAAGGAATTCCAAAGGATCTCCCCTCTAAGGATTGTCTTGAAGAAGTTGATGAATTCCTCAGTCGGGAGAATTGGAGCAATGAAGGCTGCAAAAATGAAATAACAAATTTGGTTAGCAAGGTGATAGGGTGATTGAGAAAGTGTCTGTGACCTATTTTCTACCAGGCTTTGCAGACCACTTCGATGGAAGCACATCAGAAAGACTTCCAATCGACGCAGGAGTTTTCTTAATCAGAAACCAAGGATGGTGCCAGTTCTCATCCTTGTTCGGGAGATGCGAGATGATGTTCCTATTAGCGTTCGGGTACGCCGAAAAGTACCCTGCTTTCTTTGACGAACTTCTCACACTTAGAAGTTCATTCAGCTCGGGGACCCCAATGATGTAGCCGGCTTCCGCCGCAACAGTTATAATTCCAAGGATGGTTCGGAGGAGATTGGGGGTTAGCTGAGGTAAAGCGATTTCAAGGGCCGCCAGATACCGGACTAAGGCTTCGGGAAGAGGGAAGGTTAATCCACAGCCTTTGAAGTAGATTTCATAAACACAAAAGTAGCCGTCGCGGTGGTTTTCCGGAGACTCCGTAGGGTCGGCTATTTGAGCTTCTGCTATAATTCCAGGGAGAATCTGGCAAAGCCCCTTTAATCTTTCTAGGGATTGAAGAGTACAGGTGGATCTATAGTGCGGACCAGCAATATCGTTAGGACGAGTGCATTCGTCATTGCTAGAACGCCTCTCGTCGAAAGACGGAGACTCAGGTCTATCGGTATCAGAAGTCATCGGGAAGAATGGAAGATTTGAGTTTCAGGGAAAAGAAAATTCGGCGAAGGAGACAGAGAAACTTAGCAAGAAAAGCAAAGAAATTTTTAACAAAAGATAAGAGTAAAAAGGAGGTTACCTCACACAAAGCTAAGTGGTAATGATGGAACCGCCTCGGAAGACGTGGAGGAAGTAGAAAGGTTTTCCCCGTTTTAATAGTAAATAATTAAGATACGGTCTTGATGATGACAGATGTCACGCGATCGAATATGGGTAATACCGAAATTAAAGGATTGACAAAATCTTGGCGGGAAAACCAGAGGATCCCACGAGCGCAATCTTTGGTCATTAAGACGATTAAGCCTTCCGAATTGGGATAAGCACTTCGAAAGACTTGGGGGGCTAATTGTTGGTGTCGGATCCCGCACCAGTAGACCGGGACCAACCAAAGATCGCCACGTAGTCAGGATGAAGGTCCGCAAAGAATAAGGCCCATTAAAACCCAAGTGTACAGGATATAGTCGAAGTGGGCATCATCACTAAGGGAACTCGAAGTGGTCCACTTCGGGATATGACTCGGAGTCAAAATCAGGATGGTTCAAAGTAAGTTGGGCCAAAAGGCGAAGCCCATGAAGATCGGAATCAGTTCAAATTCAAACGTTGAGCATTAAACTCGAAGACCAAAACGGACACATTTAAGAGAGAATAATTGTGTTTAATTGAGAGTTAAATGTCGTTTGTCAATATAAATAAGAGGGCTAATAGCCATGTAAAGGATACGCAATTTTTCTAGCAAATACACTATAGTTATTCCCATCACAATTCATAGCTTTTTATCATATTTTTGTCCTCAAGAGTAATCATTCCCACTAAATAAACAAATATTCAAGTGTGCGAATCCGACATCCACAATATTGAATTATTTTTAAAATTCAAAGTAGGTAAACCTAATTTTTCTCATTAACTTCATCTCTCCCTATAAATATCTAAAATTAGACTCACAAATATTCATTAGCCCACCATTCCAAATGTAAGTCGTAACTAATTAATTTTGTTCTCTGTTTATAAATTTGACTTTTGGATACATTTCTTTTAATTGTGGGATGATAATTACAAATAGAACATTATACTCTCATTTCCGTTATGTTTCTACAACTTATAAATTAACTACATAGGTTTGTCGAGCCATGGCTTAGCTTGTATTGAGTTGGGTCAAAAGACAGTCACACTCAGTTTATGCAAACGAAATACTAAAAAAGTGATAAAAATAGTTCATATGTCGAAGTTTGAACTTGTTAATAGATAATTCAAACAGAAAATATCATGTTACTACAGTTTGAAAAGAGATAATTAAAACAAATAGAATAATAGTTGGATTAGTATTTGATATTTTTATTATTTTCTGTGTTTGAATCTTTACAACCATGAAGCTTTTTTCAACTAGAGAAAAACAAAACAATTTTTATAGACCGCGGGTGAATAAAGTTTTTATGTAGTATTCTATGAATATGAATTATAAAATTTCTTTCGTGGGATTGTCAAATTATGAATATTATACCAAATAAATAAGTGTTCAAATATAATCCGCACCAGCGTTTTAAACAATTAGAGAATGTTTAACAAAAAAAAAATTGAATAGATTCTATTTATTTTGTAAAAATTAAATCTTGAAAGAAAAAATACGTAAAATACGGGTATTCCATCTAAATCTCTTACCCATTCTCTTTTCTGTTGAACTAAATTAAACATTCTCATATTGGTAACTATTTTAAAGGAAACAGTTATGTGACGAGAAATTTTAAGATAGGCAACGAGACGGGACGGGACGGGACGACACTACTTTCTCTCATTGTCTTATCTAAATATGTGTATAGATATACATATAAAACAACAAAATAATCTACATTGAATTAAATTTTATTAAAAAATATTTTTTAAAATATAAAATCCCGCACGTACGTACGGGTCAGGATCTAGTAATATTTAGTTACAACGAATAAATTTATAGCCAAAATTCTATATTCTTAAGATCTATACCAACAGCCAAAAAGTTACGCCCGAAATTTTACAACTACGACTTACACACTTACCTTACCGCCAAAATTCTATAGCAAATTTTCTATGAGTATAGTCTAACTAATCACCCTCTAACACTGGATTTTACTTTCCAAAAACTGCATTTGTCTTGCCTTAGAGCAGCAAAATCTACATTGTGTCAGCCTCTGCTTCTTCTTCTTCTAGATGCATCTGCTCTCAAAGAGATAAACAAACCCTAAATTGCGGCTGAATCTTTGTTCTCTCTATTGCTTCCATCCATATCAAAGCTCGATTTAAACCCTAATTCTCACTTAAATATGTGCCACTTCTCTCAACTAGATGAACTAAACAAAAAAGATTTGTGAGATTTCTCAAACTTTTTGGATCCGGCGATCTCCTTCTTCCGAAATTCGTTCGAAGAAGAATAAGATTTAAGCAAGAAGAAGTGATATGGTAATGGCGTATAGGCTTCCTCTTCGAGAACGGGTCTGTGTCCTCTTCTTCTTTTTAGCTGAAAGTTGTGAAAATTTGAATGCTTTAGCTTTGTTCCTGAAGGAATCAATGTATATGATCGGTAGTAGATAAAAATGGTCCCGGAACTTTGATTGAATTGCAATAAAGTCACTCTCATTGAGACCACACACCTAGTAGAAGTTGGTGTGTGTGGACCGATCTTGATGTAGACAATTATTATTTTGGACCCTTTCTTGATTAAGTCATAATTAGTCTTAGTCTTGTAATAGAAACTGCTTCAGAATCTTATGTGGTTGATTTGTTCCTTATTAGGTTCAAGTAATGATTCATGTTCTTGTGTTTGTTAGTATAATTCAAATTTTTTGTGTGTTTGATGATTTTTTTTTTTTATGTATTGACAGAGGAAGCGGTGTTTTAAAGTGTTGTCTTGTTTTGGTGCGAGAAAAAGAGAGAGACGTATTGTGCCAGCTTCTCGAATACATGATGGGAATGTTGCAACTGGATTGAGTAATCAAGCTACATCAATGCTTGCTCCACCTTCTTCTCCAGCTTCTTTCTAACAATCTCCTGCTCCTTCGACAATGCAATCCACGAATTGCCAGCTTTTGTTATCTGCTAACTCTCCTGGTGGTCCTTCACCTTCAATGTTTGCAACAGGTCCTTATGCTCATGAGACCCAATTGGTTTCACCACCGGTTTTCTCAACTTATACCACAGAGCCATCTACTGCTCCTTTGACTCCTCCTCCTGAGTTAGCACATCTCACCACTCCTTCTTCACCTGATGTACCTTATGCTCGGTTCTTGACATCTGCTGATGATGTGATGAAAACAGAGAAAGGTGATTATTTCTGCAAACGATCTCCATGCAACATACGCACTGTATCCTGGCAGTCCTGCGAGTAATCTTAGATCTCCAATCTCAAGGATCTCAGGTGATGGTCGATGCTCATCCTTTCCCGAGCGTGAGTTCTCACTGCAATGGGATCCTTTGGCTTCGCCAAGATTAGGAAAATGTTCAAGGAGTGACTCTAGTTATGCATAGACGCCTGAGACAAACAATACTCTAAAGACATCTGAAGGTTCTAATTTCTTCTGTCTTGACACATTTGCTCGATACTATCTTGACCTTGATGCCCCATTTTTTCAAACTGGTGGAAGACTAAGTGTTTCGAAGGACTCAAATGTTTATCCTAGTGGTGGAAATGGTCAACGCAATTCTAAGCAAGATATGGAAGAACTGGAAGCATACAGAGCTTCCTTTGGTTTCAGTGCAGATGAAGTCATCACGACAAGCCAATATGTAGAGATCACACATGTGAATGATGACTCCTTCACCATGAGACCACGTAGTACCCTTGGATGCAACTTCATCAAACAGTAATATAAAGGCTACATCACAAGGTGAAGGGCTAAATTCGTATGGCTCAGAGGCTAACTTGAACCTGCAAAAAAGTGCAGATAAGAGACGCAACTTACAAGAGCCGCTTGAGTTGTACAATGGTAATGTCACATTATCTGAGTCTTGAAATTTACCTCAAGCGAGGAGTCTATGTTTGAAATCTCCTGTGTTATATGAAAGCATATGATATGCGGGGGAGAGAAACGGGGCACATATCTGGAGCAAGCACACCGGGCAGTGGAGGTCAAGCGAAGACAAGCAGAAAGTACAAGATGGGTCTATGCAGTTCAGATGCAGAAATCGATTATAGAAGAAGCGGACGAAGGAAAGGAGATTTTGCATGGCATGACTAGAAGAAACCCTTTTTTACTATTGGTACCTTTTTTTGACTAATCTGTAGAGTTTTTGGTTTGCTTTTCTCTTGCCAGAACAAATTAAGCTTGTGTTCTGTGTGGTGTTTAGTTAGTATGCTATATATTATGAATATATTACACATAAAGTATACGTATAATGCCTAACAAATGACTGTTTGTATGATTTCTTTTTCTCTTGGTTGTTACTTTTGGGTATGTTCGATTGACGTCTTGTTTTGGATTGAACTGCTACTTGAATCTTTTAGATATGAACACACATTGTTTAATCCACGATGTACACAAGTTCAGGCTCTATCATTTAGCAAAATCATGTCACAAAACAAAAAACTAGATATACAGACGAACCATATAGTGTCTAGGTAGAGAAGAAGGTGGTCAAATATAAAAACTCTCTCTCATGAGTTCCGGATGGATGATATAACGGAAGTTGGAGTCATGGTTAATCCAACGAATGTATCTGTCTTGTTTTTTCTTTACAACTCGTGTCAGTGTCGTTCTTTGTGTCTCTGTTAGGCACTCTGATATGGTATTAAAGAGTTCAACCATGTTGAGAGAGTATCCTTTGCGTAGTTGTAAATGATCTTTGGCAATAGAATCTTTGTCTCTTTCTCAAATCGAACACTTGTTTGGATGAAACGGTCTCTTGCTTGCCTAAGTTCTTGAAAGATTCCTTCTGCTGTATAAACTCTGACCTGATAAACCATTACATTGTTTTGAAATGGTTAACTCGGTTTGTGAGGAGATCAAAAGGAGAAAGGAATCGAATCGGTATTATTACCATTGGATCGGTTGATGCTCCTGTAGAGAGGGCAAAATGAAGAAGTGGTTCAGCATAATCCAACGAATAAGTGTGTCGACCGCTACTTGTCTTTGAACTCCTAGCCGGTGAAAATAACGTCCATAAACGCTGCCATGGCAGATTTCACATATTTAGAAAGTTTAAGATTTTGAGAATATGACTTCGCTCTCAAGTTTTCTTTCATTTTTGCTTTTCCAGAGGAGAGTTACAAAAATACTATGGTTTATTTGGAAAAAAAACTATTGCAAAATCAACTTACTGATGGTGAATGGCATGCATGAATGCCCAATATCGAACTCTGGACATCGTATGCGTTTATCCGCTCCCCACCGATGTTAAATGCTGCCTGGACAGGTTAAACATCTAACCGCTTAATGGCTCAAATTATCTACTGTTTTACAATGCAATTGATAGAAGAAAATTGTCAACTATCTCAAACCTTCAAGATCGTTGTGCTTGTTGTATCTTCACTAAATCCATACTATACGCCTGTAAGATCACACCAGTGTTATATCATAATAATAACAAAAGGAACTTGAAAATTATGGTAAGGGACTCAGATTTGCTAATTTGCTTACGTGCATCACTAAAGCATTATGAATGTTTATCCAGAACGCAAGTTTCTCTTCCCTAGCCATCCTTTCCGGATCAACTTTCTCGAGCTTTTGAACCAACGATCTGGATTTTAGTCAGTTCTAGAAAGAGTAAGCCACTTTAAAATCTATGTAATGCAAGAATTCTTACACATTTTCTTTACATGCAATCTCACCTAAAATTCTGAAGCAAGCTCTCTACCGACTTCAAATTGTCATCTTCTAGGCAAAGTTTACCGATAACAACTCCAAGTTCCTCATTAATATTTTCATTCTTTGAGTTCTTCTTGACTATTCTGCTATGTCCCTGCTTGTCTGAGAGTTTGTAGTGTACCACACAAATACTTCTCAGAATCTCTTCAGAGAGTTTATTGGGACTGAGAGTGTTAAGACCAAGAAGATCAGCCAAACTCGGGTGACCAGAGTCGGATCTTTTTATCTTGTCCTGAAAAAAAACGTTTCACAATCACAAATTAATATTAAAGCAAACAAAACACTACAACTATATCAATATATGCATATGAAAAAATTAAGATCATTCACCATCTCAGACAATGATTTGAAGCTAGACAAGACAGACTCAGCCCGAAAGAGGCGCGATCATTGTGAAATTTGGTCTTGGATGGAGGGAGTGG